TCTAAACAGATCTTCAAGAATATATACATGATAGTAAATTATGGACCATCCACTTAATGCAATACAATAGGGTCACTGAAAATTATGTTTAGGGCGAGGGATTTAGCTCAGTGGTTCTGCTGACTGCCTCGCAACTGCAAGGTCCCAAGTTCGATCCCCAGTACCAAAAAAAAAAAAAAAAATTATGTTCATAATTTCAACAGTTGATTCTGCTTATGTTTCTTTTTTTTTCCTGCTAATGTTTCTTTATAGTTTTGGGGGGGTTTTCATGATTATGGCTTGCCTTAATCTTGAAAATAGCATACTTTTATAATTTAATGAACAAAATAGCAAAATTCAGAAGCATAATAAAATTTTGAAGAATTTTATCAAAAGTACACCACCTTGTGCTGCCTCCTGTTGCGCAAACACAAGGACCTGAATTCGATCCCCAGTGCCAAAAAAAAAAAAAAGAAAAAGAAAAGTAACATAATGGCCAATAATTGTTGAAATACAGTTAAAAAAGAAAATGCAAATTAATAACTATTATTTTGCCTGTTAGATTGTCAAATAAATTTAAAAGGTTAAAATTCCCACTGCTGGGTAGAGTGAAGAGAAATAGCCACCTCATTTTCTACTAGTGATAGTGTAATATGATGATATTTATCAAATATGTACACTCTATGATTCCGAAGTTCTTCCCAGAGTCATATCTTATAGAAATATGAATACATTCCCTAGTATTATAGGTAGTGTGTTCATCAGCTTTCCATTACTGTGACAAAAGATCCAAGAAAAGCAACTTAAAGACACGAAGGGTTACTTTGGCTCACATTTTCAGAGGTTTCAGTACATGGTCACTTGGCCCTGTTCCTTTGACTTTGTGACAGCACAGTACATCATAGCAGGGATATGTGGCAGAGATGTGCTGTTCACTTCATGACAGCCAGGAAGCAAAGAAAGACAAGAAAGAGCCAGGGTTCCAGTGGCTTCTTCAAGGTCATGCCCCAGTGACCTCACTTCTTCCAATTGGGCATACATCCTACAGGTTCCACCACCTCCCAGTAGCACCACAGGATAAGAACCAATCCTTCAACATGTAGCTTTCAGGGGGCACTCGGATCAAACTGTAGCAGGTGTTATGTAATAGTAAGAATAAAATGGAAATAGTCCATGTGTCAATCATTAGATTAATTAAATGAATTATGATGGGGCCATATAATAAAATATCATTTAATCCTTGAAAATTATTGTGTATTATATTTTTGCATGGAAATATGCCTATGAGATGACACACAAGTTTAGTTCCATTTTGTAAGTATGTTTATGCACTTGTACACTTTATATCCACATATATAAAAACACCTATATCTCCCAGGAAAACAGCCTGAAAGGATACACATATGCTTGTAGTAACTACTTCCGAGAGAAAGAAGTATAGTTTTATATTTCCTCACATATTTTTTGAGCTCCATCTAATCCCAGATGGTATCCTAAAGAGGACGGGTAGAGTGCAAACAATTGGACAAGCCACCTGCTCTTGGGCAATTTACATTTCATTGGAGATAAAGATATAGATAAACAAGAAAACTTTAAATAGGGATAAATACTAGGAGGGAAAAACAAAAATGAAGCCTGTTAGAGAATGATTGATGTGCCATGGAAGAGGGTTCTCTCAGGATTACAGGGCTCGGGGAGGGCTTTCATAGGAAAGAATTACTTTTCACATGAGCTATGAAGAGTACAAAGATGCCAGACTTTGAAAAGCCCTGGGAAGAGCTTTTAAGGCAGAACCAAGAAGGGCAAAAGTGTTGAGACAAGATATTTCAATAAGAGAGAGAAGCTGAAGAAGCTGGAATATAACAAAGAGGAAAGTGCAATGAGCTATCATTTGAGAAACAGGTAGAAATCAGATTTTGTGGATCCTATGAGTTCTGATAAGGTATTTAGATTATTTATAAGTGCAGAGAAAGCCATGGAAATATTGATGTTCATTGAGAGTGAGCCAGTTCCTTTTACATTTTTAAAAGACCATTCTGTTTGCTTCTTCAAACTTTCTTGAACTATTTCAATTGTTATAGTCAATACGTATACAGAAAAATATTGTTTTTCTTAACTATGAAAAAACTTACTGGGAGATAATCACTATAAAGTTACAAAATCTAATTATGAGTAATATTATTTTATTATTTATATGCTTATATGCACTGTAATTTTCTACCAAAATATGCATTATGCTTCATTGCAAATTTTCAAAACATAAAAAATGAAAAGTATAGTAACTGAAGCAATCAATCACTTTAGTTATTAAAGCCCTCTTTTTAAAAAATGATAAACATTTTGTCAGAAGAATACTCACCCTGGAGTCAAATTCTGACTTTAACTCCTTCAGCATTGACCCTTGGACATGGGACACACCCACATGGCTTTACTTTCCTGATAATGAGGCAAAAATTAAATGAGGGAACAGTAATTTAGGAGAAATTTACATAGTTCTTTCTATTTACAAAGTACTGTTTTTTGAGGTCTTCCAATGGACTGGTGACGATGTGATACTCATAGATGCACCAATAAATAAGAAAGGTCTGTGCCACTCTTCAGGGGTCTCCTAGTCTTCAGGCACAGAGTCAGAAAACATTGGTTTCAATCTATTAGATTCATGGTAATATGTTTTATTAGTGCTCTGTTTTAAGACTAAAGTACTGTATTAGTCATTTTCCTATCACTAGAACAAAATACCTGACACCTGCAACTTAAAGGAGGAGAGGTTTATTTTAGCTCATGGTTTCAGAGGATGCAGTCGATAGTCATCTGGATCTCAAGCAGAAAAAGCATAGCAGAAGGGAGAATAATTGCTCAACTTATGGCAACCAGATAGCAGAGAGACAGGGAAGGGACCAGCTGGAAACAAGCACGCACCACATTATGTCATACCCCTACCCACCAGTTCCAACTAGGTCCCCTCCTCCTAACAGCACATTCAGCTAAGAACCAATCAATGGATCGATCCACTGATGTGTGTAGTGCCGTAATGACCCGATCTTCTTCCAAAAGTCACACCTCTGAACATTTTGGAGGGATATTTTAGATCAAAACCATAACAAGTACCATATGATAATCCCATGTGAAGCAGCCCTCCATTCTTTCCCATAGTCTCCTTCAAGACCCCAATTTACTGACTTGAGTATTTATCACTTCCTTAACTTATCCAAATTATGAATTTGTTGACAGGATCCAAAGTTCCTTGAGGTCAGGAACATTCTCTTTTTCACTGTTGTATCCTTAGCACCTATAGTATTGTCTGGCACTGTAGTACTTGCATTACTACATGAATGAGAATAAAGGGCTACTTCAGATAAGTGATTTTCTCCTAAAGTAAAGGTCTTATCAGGTCCTTGTAACAACACTGCTAAGTGTGGATCCTTACTATTACTCTCATGTGGAAAATTGGGAAACTGGAATTCAGAAAAGTGAGTTCTTCTTAAGGTCCATTTGACTACTAAATAGCAACGGTAGTGCTTTCCAATCTCAAACCCTGTGCCCTGTAGTCTACATACATAGAGTTGCGAAGAAATTGGTTTTATGTTTAACCTAGGCCTAAAAGTCTT